GTTCCAGGTGCCAGTGCCCCAACAGACTGCAGGGCACAGCATCAGACCATTGCTAGTGGAGGGAGACAATGTTCTTTGTTGCAAGATACTCAGTTTACACCATAAACTCTTCATTCCTGGGTCTCTTGGTTGCCTACAGTTCTAGAATGTGTTTGGTAAAAGAATTACACGGGTAAGAGCTTGTCGTGGGAGGTTTCTTAGTCACGGAGTATAGAGATATCATTGCTCCCTGTAGGAGGCATGTTTGGACCAGGGCAGGAGGTGCATTATGAAATTTATTCTCTGCTGCTCCCTTTCTCATCAGGATTTCAAGGAGCAGATAGTCCATCATGCTGCAACCATCTTCCTGATCAGCTTCTCATACTGTGCCAATTACATCCGCATTGGGACGCTGGTGATGGTGATTCATGATGCCTCGGATTGCTTCCTAGAGGTGAGCTCCACAGCTTCCCTGCCAGGCAAAACCCATTTAGCAATGCTCTCCAGCCTCAGGGTGTCCCTCAATCCAGCACAACATGGGCCAAGCACTGGGGTGTTCCACAGATCCTTCATGCTGATCTGCTGGCCCAGCCGAGGGTGCCCTGCAGAGAGCTGGGCAGGGCTGTGGTTCCCTGCATGCAGGTTGTGTTGTGCTGTGTCATTACCCTCCTGGAGTATGTGCAGATGCTGTTTTATTGTTCTTTCTCCTTCCAGCCAACGAAGATATTCAATTACATGAAGTGGAAAAAAACTTGTGACAGCCTCTTTATGATCTTCTCAGCTGTTTTCCTGATCAGCCGCCTGGTCGTTTACCCTTACACGTGAGTGCTGCAGTCAGGGGACATGGCAAAGCTGCCCTCTGACAGACAGGAGGATTAGCTGGGTGCTGCAGCCTGTGCTTCTGGGTCCTGGAGCATGTGTCCCTGCTGTTTGCACAGGCTCAAGTGCCACATGGCTGTTGCACCTCCCTTGGAGTTTATAGAGTAGTCTCGAAGCCCTGAAGGGTCCTGCAGAGGAGGAGTCTTCGGCCTGAGGCTCTACCCTGCATATTTTGGGGGGCAGAGGGGGGAACTGAGAGTTGGTTCACATGTGTTATAGATAAAGATGGAAGTGGCTGATCCGAAACTTCCTCTGTGATCAGAACTTTCTGGGGTTTAATTATGGCCCTATTAACAACATGTTTTCCCTCCACTGCAATTCCCTCTCTTCTGCAGAGTGCTGTATAACACCTACTATTACTCCATGGAGATATTCCAACCCTTCTTTGGATACTACTTTGTGAATACTCTCCTGATAATTCTGCAGCTGCTCCATGTCTTCTGGTCCTGCCTAATTATTCACATGGTCTACAAGTTCATCCTCCAGGGCACGGTATGCATCAGTCTGTAGTACCCTTTACACCACATGGGGAGAGAGGGTCCACCTAGACTGCTTGGGAGCACAGGGGTCCATCTGGGATGGATTCCTTCTTGCCCTAGTGAAAGTACACGTGTACATCCCAAACAGTGAGGTGAAAGGAAACTCAGTATTATTATTAGGGAAAGTTGACCCCAAAAAATTTTATGAGTCCCTACAACATTGGGTCCACTTCTGATGCTTGTATTCAGTGAAAGTGTGGATTGGACTCCTGGAGATACTTCCATGAACAAAGCCAGTGACATCTGAGTAAAGATGCCAGCACTTGGTGCAGTGTGATTTGCATTTGTAACAAAACTAAGAACTGAAGGCAAGGGAAGCTCTCATGATTGGTAAGGCCAGTGCAAAAGTTCTTCCCTTATTGTACAGAATTTTTGATTACAGTGTTACTGAGATCACAGAATCATGGAGTGGCCGGGGTTAGAAGGTACCTCTGGAAGCCTTGTCTGTATTTTCTGACTCAAGCAAGGTCACCTAGAGCAGGTTGCCCAGGACAATGTCCAGATGGCTTTTGAGTATCTGCCAGGATGGAGACTCCATAACCTCTCTGGTCACCCTGTGCCAGTGCTCCAACACCCCCTCAGTAAAAAAGTGTTTTCTGATGTTCAGGAAGAGCCTCCTGTGTTTCAGTTTGTGCCCATTGCCTCTTGTCCTGTCTCCAGACACTGCTAAGAAGAGCCTGGCTCCATCTTCACCCCTCCCCTTCAGGCACTGATCTACATTGACAAAATCCCCCCCAGCCTTCCTTTCTGCAGGCTCAGCAGTCCCAGGTCTCCCAGCCTTTCCTCAGAGAAGGTGCCCCAGTCTCTCCATCATCTCTGCAGTCCCTCACTGGACTCTCTCCGGTGTGTCCATGTCTCTCGTAGTGGGGAGCCCACCCTGGGACACAGCACTGTGTGGCTGTGGCCTCCCCAATGCTGAGAGGAGGATCCCACCCCTGACCTAACAGGCCAGGAAGGGCAGGGGCACAGCAGTGGCTCAGGTTCAACTCAGCATCTGCTGGAACCTCCAGGTGTTTCTTAGGGAAGCTGATCAGCACCCAGCACGCTCTGGTGTCTGAGGTTGTTCCTCTCCCTGAAGGTGCAGGATTTCACTCTTGCCCTTGCTGAACTTCACAAGGCTCCTGTCAGCCCTTTTCTCCAGCCTTCCAGGTCCCTTGGAATGGCAACACCGTTCTCTGGAGTATCAGCTGCTCCTCCCAGTTCTGTGTCTTCAGCAAACTCATTGAGAGTACACTTTGCCCCATCATGCAGGTCATTAAAATGCTTCTTGTATGGATTGTGTTACAGTGCTGAAGGTGTCTACAGAGTAGGTGTTTCTGTCTAATCCAGCTACCTGGGCTCTTCTTGCAGCAGCAGAGGGAAACAGGCATGCCCAAAGCATGGTCCATTCCATACTGCAGCTGGCAGTGCTGTTCATCAGGCACAGAGCAACCAGAGATGAATTTCTGAGCTGCAGCTGTATAAACTGACGTGAAATGCATCCCACATCCCACTCTTTCTGGCCTGTCTGTTTGCTGTGAGACCAAACTGCTGCTCAGCATGAAATTCTTCCCAAAAATCAAAGCCATGACCTAATGGCATTAGATTGGCCACGTGCCAAGGACCAGTCAGCGCCTCGTGGGAACTGACCTCAGAGCCCAGGATGACTTGTTTTATTAGTACCCAGCTGAGGAATCCTGTCTTATGGGAACTGAGAACAAGCATCTTCATGCATATTGTTCCCATTTTCTTTGTCTGCTTTCCCTTTATCTGCTACCTTAAGTAGCACGGAGGAAATTACTTGCAAATCAGGAAACAGAAACTTCACAGGGCAGAAAATGGAGATGCAACTGAAGATGGCCTTTTATTGTTTTCCTGATTCTAGTGTGGGCTGAATTACCATTGCAGTTATTGTTGTGTAAAATGATGAGGCAATAAGTAGCCTTTTTAGAAGGAAATGAACCATCAGGGAGGGAAATATTGAAGCATATCCAGAATTTTTCCTGGTTTATCTAAAAACCAATCTGCCAGTTTTGATGTAAAAATATATTTGAGAACTTTCCTCATTAAGCAGTGAACAGCAAAAATAAATTTTCCTAAACAGATCTGTCTCGATGATATTTAGTGCCCTAAAGCAGTATCAGCAAGAATACAGAACATTCTCCCCTTTTTTAGAGGCATGAAACTCTTGATCCAGTCAGAAGTTCACATTCTTCTCATGGGCCTTTCTGGTCTCCAGTTTTCCTCTCTGGCTACAGGATTATCATCACCACATTCTCACATGATGTTCCCTAATCCTGGTAATTAGAACTCAGATCCTGAAGTACAAGTTTCACTCCCTCACAGAGGGAGCAGCTGGATAGTTCCTTTGGGAGTCTTGCCAGGTGTAAGGTCTCAGCCACATTCTCTGGCCATGAATGGATAAACTTGGAAATATTGACTGTTATTTGTCCTTATGCTGCAGATCCAGGCTCTGCATAT